AACATGTGAATCTTTACCAACTATTTGAGACCAAAAATACTTACTTCACTGTGGTACTTAGCAGAAAGTTCAGCTGTGGCATTAACAGGTTGTCTGGGGCTGACAGGTAACGATCAAACTGAACCTAAATGAAAGAGAAATACAAAACATAAAGGGCATGCATTTGCTAGCAAACATCTCAAATATAACCACCTCTTTTAAGGAATAAATCCTAAGAAAAAAATCCCACATTTCAAATAACTAGATCGTTGTGTTCAAACAAGTGTTTCTTAAACATTCTGACTAAAACTCTTTAAAACTACCAACTTTTTAATACAGTTAGTGTTAGGAATACCTACTTGTAAAATGCCAAATCCACATCATTCATTTCAGTCTCCCTCACCAAGAAGGAAAGTCATCATATTTTAAGTCCACCTTATCCTTGCATCTACTATTAATATATCTGTTCATTAATCCATTCATTAGTTCAACTAATATTTCTTGAATAGCTACCATTAGAAAGGTACTATCTTACGGAATGAAAATATAATAACAAGCAAAAGAGGACAGTCCCTAGCCTCATGGAGCTTATGGTCTAGCAAGAGAGGTATTAAACAGATAATAAGGTATATAAATATGCAATTATAAACAGTGTTAAATGCTATGAAGGAAGAAAACTAAGATACTATAAAGCGTAAATTGAGGACCTAGTCTGTGGGTTTGGCAAAGACATCTCTGAGGAAAGGACATTTGAAGTGAGATCTGAAAGATGAACAAACATTGAGGAAGTGGGCAGGTGGTGGAGGGAAGTTTCTTGAGAGAAGACAGCATAGATGAAGATTTGAGGTGGGAAGGAAAACAGCTAGATAAGAAGAGATCATGTAGGACTTGTACGCTTTTTTAAGGATTTTAATTCTTACAAAAGCATTAGTAAACCATTGAAATTAAGTAGGGGAGTAATCTGACTTAACTTTTAAGAAGCTAAATCTGGCTATAGCAAGGAGAATAGACTGGAAGATTGCAATAGTAGACGCAAGGACAGCAATTAGGTAGTTACTGCAGTATTTTTAGACTACAGGGCAGTTAAGGTAAAAGAAGTGGAGATATTTGAGGAAGTCAGTGTAAAACCATCAGGACTTGGTTACTGGTTAAATGAAGGGGCTGACTCCCAGATTTTGGAGCTATAAAATTAATTCACAGTATCATCATAATATATAACTGCATGTTTAATCCACTTATTTAGTTGAGTAATAGCTGTATCCCTTACTAGATTATATCTATTTTCATCCCAATTCTTAGTATGATGCTTAGAAAATAGCAGAGACTTGGTTAATAATTGTTGAAATGATAAATGAATAAATGTTCTTTGTGCTTTCTGAGTTAAGAAGACTTGAAAGAGGACCCAGGATTGGGGTGGGGCAGGCGGGGTTAGTTTTGAATATGATGGATTGAAGTGTCTTAGAAAACTCCAAGTGGCGGCAATAGAAGTTGTATATAAAACCATGGACTGCATACAAAACGCAACAAAAATTTGGTTTCAAAAGACATCATATATTCAACTTAATTGTTCTTAAAATTGAGACCAGGAACATTAAGGATTTTTAATGGGGTTTAAAACTATTTTGTGAGTTACGGGCTGAGTATGTGTCAGAAGAGAAGGGGAAACAGAGGGAAGAAAAACACATTTATCAAGTATTAAACTAATGTTACCGATCTACGTGTGTGAACATAAATCTTCATATTTGGGGGGTAAATATCCTGAAGTGGAATTACTGGATAGTATGGTGAGTGTATATATAACTTCCTCAGAAACTATGTCTTTTTTAAATCAATCTACAATTCATTCATTTTCATTTATATTTATTACTTTTT